AAAAGACCTGGAGAGGAGATACGTAAGGCTTCAACTGTTGATGATTCTCATTCATCGAATCTATTGTCAGCCGTTGAATATATGATATTCAAACAGCGCCATGATATGTGGAAATCAGTCAGCTGGTCGATCTACGTGTGTTATTCTTCCGAAGCAAGTTTGATTGAAAGGAGAAGAAGGAATTTCATCACCATTTTAGGTTCAGCTGCATTTTGTGATGGGCATTTTTGAAGCTTATTAATGGCTAGCTGGTCGTAGTCTACCCTGGCCACTCACGGCCCTAAAACACAATACAACAAGCACATCCATGCAGAAAGCCTTTCCTGGTATTTTACGAATTTGTACGTCACTACTTCCTATAACTCCTTTTTCCGTTCAGTCACTCCTCTAACACTTCACCTGAGCTTTCAAAAGTTTTTTGTGGTGATGTTGCCGCCCAGATGAGTTCAGTGTTCCAAGTTTCTCAAGAATGCCCTGAAATTTTGGAACAGTCACTGAAAAGGGCAAAAACAATAGAGCCAAAATAACTGCAATGATATTTCGCAAGTAAACCCGAAAAAGTGTCAGTAGTCAAGAGCAGCGTTTGTTCTGACCATGTTAGTTGCCCTTAATCGGGAAATCTTCGGCAAGTAGTAGCTCATCAAACATAAGTAGGGTGAACATGATGCACATATCTACCATACCCCAAAAACTGCTTCTTCTTTTCTAAAAGAAAAAAATACCCGTACTAGTAACTGTCCCTATCAGAGGCCATGCTCAGAACCGATGAAGACCACGTAAGTAAAACGGTAGTCGACCAAACAGATTATCTGGTCGGCACGCGATAATCGAGAAAGCTTACCTGAATCTTTGCGTCAGTGGGATATTTATATACTACTAAGCATCCTCTGAATCGCCTATATAAGGAACTCAATTTTCGTCAGTGTCATCGTCTACCATAAGCAACTGCCGTTTTTCAGGATGGTCACATTAGAGGCTACCCTAAGGCTTGTTGACAAATTTTACTGCGTTCGATAGCCTCCTTGATTATAGTGGAAATTTTGACTTATTACCGACTCTTCTCTTCAGGATTTCAGTTCTTTGTGAGCCACCGATTGGAAAATTAATCAGTGAACTGCCTCGAAAATTATGAAGTATCATTAGATTAAGTACAACGTCTGGAAGTTTTCGTAATCGAACGACTGGCCAGCTCCCTTGATTGATGTTGTGTAAAATAACGATATACTGTACCTCATTCGTGTTATCAAACGCAGCTCACCATCAGCTTCGAATGGCTGCTCAGTCCCGAAAATCGTTCCTTCATACAGCTAGCTAATCAGATGGTTGAACGTCAGAGGAATGGTCCAATGGAAGGTATTGCCTTAAGAGCGATCGGTGCAAAAATTTAGAAAAAGGGTGAAAAGAAGTGGTAGTGAAAAATTAAAGGCAGCTTAGCAGGTCCTTCCCGCATGACCATGCGCCCACATACATACATATAAGAAGTTGGCTGGTATAAAGCTTCGCAGCTTGCACAAGAACATCCTTTTATCCACTTTCGACGCAGACTTCCGTCCATCCTATTGCCTCTTGTCTATTTCTTCTATTCATCCCTTCAGAAGAGGTTGAGGTTTGGTGACGAACGTCAAAAACAGCAATCAGAACTTTTTAAACTGAGAAATCTAATCCTTTTAGTGCAGTAAGGCCACTGTCTGTATGCTGGCAACATTACTCTCACAGTAAACAAATTCTTGTTCGGCCCCGAAACGCATATGCTTCTTATCTCAGAACGAAAATGAAAGTGGCATCTCGGAATTTCCAGTCATTCATAGAAGACTACGATTTATTCGAGGTTACAAGCACTAAGAAGATGATCACGTACTAAGAAGCTTGTCCTGAGCGAATATCCATCTGAGTTAATTGAAAATCTCTACACGTTTAGTCCATTTCGTGCTCTTCTCCAGGTTATTTTCATCCCAGCGGTTGAGGAGGTCGGAGGCGAAGACAAGTTTTTTCTTCATCTATTGACGTCTGTATGTTTTTATATGTTTATAAGGTATCTGTTCCTTTTCAAGCTAAATCACAAGAAGCTCTGTAGCTTGGTTGATTTCTCAGCTTTCATCACTACTCACTTTATTTGTTCAAAAATGTTAGTAACGAAGCAACAATGTAAGTAAGGACGATAGGATTTCGATCATCATTTAGTAGGGATATACTGTTTTACCCTATGGGCACAATATTTCTTCTATTTTATTTAGTTTAAATAATATAATTGGACGTCTGCGATGTTTTGATCAGCGTGAGTTGAGAAGACCAGTCTAACATGGTCAAGATCAGTTTGGTAGTTAATATATTAAGATTGTTTTGAAGCGGCTTAGAGGTGTAGTACACTACCGGATTCACGGTTACGCATCAGCAAGCGCCATGACTACTCCTACTACAAGAGATCGCTACTCCGAGCCCATCTGCCTCAAGTGGTACTGACAAGGTCGATGTGGGGATCTATGCGAAAGCGACATGCGCCCTTCGTAGCCGCCGAGTGTCATAGAAACAAAGTGGGTAAATGGAACATGAATTATATCCAAATTCTTTCGGTGCGGTATCAGTTAGTGTTAGCAGTTTGACGTAATTGCAGTGCCGCTGGACGGCCATCAAAAATTTGTTCCGCTAGCCGATAGGAACCACCTGCAAGACGTGTCCTAGCACCCGGTATCTGCCGCATTTTGTCAGGAGTATAGGGAGGGATAGGGCGCTGATAGGCGTTTTTAATCATCTTGTCAATCTTTCACCGATTTCTTTTACTCTTTCTCAGGAGCCGATGACAAACAATCGTGTAAAGACCCTTCGCCTTCCAATCCTCAGCTTGACATTTATTGCTAAGCGGATGGAGTCATGCTACCGCCTTCGAATCATTCTAGTCGGGATCCTGTCAATTGGCCCCGTCTCCAAGAAAATTGCCATCTACCGTTATGTGGATGATAAGATATTGAGATGTTTTTTGATTATGTTCACGAAGAATTAGGACTCGGATAGCTAGCTAATCTTGAAGTCATAATCGTTGCCATAACAAGCAGTGAGCAGATGACATCACTTTTGTTCCTAGGGAAATTTGCCCTTTTGTTGTTTTTGCGTGTCTACGCTGCAATAATTCGGTTCTAGTTGCCTTTTGGAACCTGCTGGAGTCAGTGGACGAACAGTAGGCTCTTACCATTTTCTTTTACCCGTACCCAATACATTGAACTAACGGCCTGCAACATAAACCCAACTACTGTCAAATAGCTACGGTTACTAATGGGCACAGAGACAATGCAATACAACGATACAATACCAATACCAATACCAATACATCATCAATACCGATACGTACAGAAACAATACACAGACTCGCAAGGTTGGCGAATTCTCGGCAAATCTTCAGCCTCAGACGGCACGCGAACGTGTGCCTTGCGACCGCAGAGCTCTGGTAATGTGAGGGATAAGGAGCCCGGTAGCCGTAGAGCCTCATTAAGGGTTCGAGTCCCGTCTGGGGCCGGCTTTGCCCAAAAATCGCCAATCTTGTGAGATTTTCGCATCGAATGCTGCCGCGAAATAACAGTCACCCATGCAATGCTCTGGGTTGCATTCGAAGTGTGATCGAAGGCTTACTGTATCATGTACCACCTCATCGCGGTGATAGGGTGACACCATAGCAAATGGTGACCGACGTTACAAATGGACACGCAGTACGCGTTGCCTGTCGTATGGGCGGCTTCTTTGTATCCCTGGCGAGGAACAAGGGAGTAACCGAGGCCAAGCAAACTGCTCAGACAGCTAAAATTGCGCCCCGGTCCTGCGCACATCGGGTATGCTCCCCTACGGCGTCGGGGGAAGCCTCTACTGATGAGGGGCCATCTAATCTCGCATGGGAATTAGGACGTCATCGGAACCGGAATCCTGGAAATCTCCCCAAATCGCGACACATGGACTGCCTTTTCGTCTGCTCGTACAACTGCCGCACTATAGCACCGGAAGCCAGCCTTCGGATGCTTCTGCTAAGTAGTCGGCTGGTTAAATATGATGTCATCGCACTACAGAAAACGGAAGGCAGAACGGAAACCATTCGAAAAACGGACCACAACGAGCTGCTCATCATCGTACCCAAAGCGAACGGCAATGTTGGTGAAGTTGGATTTCTGATCAGTTTGGCAATCGCCCACCTAGTAGACTCGCATAACATTGTCAGCCCGCGTCTTGCCGTCCTCCGTCTGCGCACAAACGACCACGTTGCAGTTTCTGTCACCAATGCATATGCACCTACATCCGCGGCTCCAGAGGAAGAGCGAGAGGAGTTTTGTAGATTTTGGGAGAAGACGATTCAAGAAGAGAAGAGCTACTATGAATATGTCGTAGGCGACTTCAACGCCGTCGTGGGCGCAAACTGCAGTGGAGATTGGAAACTCAGACCTTATGGCTCTGGCGACAGGACCGAAAACGGAGAACTCCTTCTGAACCTTCTATATGCGTGCCACATTTTCCATGGAAACTCCATGTTCGAGAAACCAGCTAAGCGATGAAGGACTTGGGAGAGTCCAAACGGCCGAACGCATACAGAAATAGTCATGTTCTTACTAATCGACGCTGGAGTCTACTTGATGTATCCGTGTTGCCCTCTTTTGACACCGGCTCGGATCATCGCCTTGTGCGCGCAAAAATACGACTCAACAAGCGGATATTCAAGCGTGACACGCACAGGCCCACACACTTCCTCTGCCATTGAAGCTCATGATTGGCTGCTTTCATAGCCCGCCGGCCGGCCGGCGGACTATGAAAGCAGCCATTGGCGTCTCTTACAGGATCCCACCGAAGGCCACGAACACCTAACAAAAGGCTTGCTTAAGTGTGCAGACATTTCTCGTCGTTCACAGCAAGCACGAATCCCGAGGTTGAATGCTCTTGCCGTATCCCTCTTGAAAAAAAGGAGAGCACTCAAACAGGATCCCAACGCCAACCATGTTGATAAAGTCCTCGTAAACAAAGCCTGCCGTATGGCTGTCAAGCAATCTCTTCGGGAGTACGGGAGAACCAAGTTACTGAAAGCAGCCGAAGCGAGATCGAGCATCAGGCGCTGCAAACGAGATCTCAGCGACCAGAAAGCTGTGATGTCCGCTCTCTTGGACAAAGATGGAAGTGTGAAAACATTTAGAAGTTCGATGGAGAACATCGTTCAAGATTTCTACACAGAACTCTTTCGTTCCTCCACCTTTGTGCCTAAATGCTCGATGCCGCCATATAAAGAGCCCCCCGCTATCTTAGATTCGGAAGTGGCAAACGCGATAAGAAGCATGAAGAAAGGTACAGCTCCAGGCTTGGACAATATCACTGTGGATTTGCTGCGCTCTCGAAGTACCGCTCTTCACACCCTTCTTGCGGAACACTTCAACCACTACCTCAAATTGAAAAGGTTTCCAGAGCAGCGGAAAGAACCGAAAACCATTCTTCTTTTTCAAGAAAGATCGGCGAGAGGCATCCACAACTACCGTCCCATCAGCCTACTATCGGTGGTATACAAGTCATTCACGATAGTTCTGCTCCATCGCATGGAAAGCATCTTGGACGAACACCACTCAGTAGAGCAATCTGGATTCAGGAGAAACTTCTCGTGCATGCATAATATCCAAGCAGTCGGTCAGCTTATTGAGAGAAGCCGGGAATATCGTCTTCCTTCGGCCCTTCTCTTCGTGGACTACAAGAAGGCGTCCGACTCTGTAGCGATCAACGCTGTTTTAAATGTTCTTATGCAAGCTGGAGTTGATCCCGACTACGTCCACCTGTTCGAACAGTGCCTCTCGAACACATCAACATTCATCCAGCTGTTCGACCCAAAGCTGAAGATTCCAGTTGGAAAGGGGGTGCGACAAGGAGATACCATATTCCCAAAGTTTTTCACGGCTGCGTTATAATATGCGATGTTGAACCTCGACTGGGAAGAAAGAGGATTTCCCGTCAATGGCAAAAAAGTCAGTAACCCCCGCCTTGCCGATGATATCGTCTTGATATCAAGCAGTACAGCCGAAATGGAAAAGATGGTCAACGAACTCAATGCGGTAAGCCGGCGGATAGGCTTGGAGATGAACATGTCCAAAACGCAATTAATGGTTAACAAGTGGTGTGATACGGAAACAGTAAGGTTAGAGATTACAGATTGCAAAGAGTTGAATCCTACGTATATCTGGGATGACAGCTGAACATGATGAACAATATCGCTCCAGAACTAAATCGGAGAAGACGTGCTGCATGGGCGGCTTTCGGTTCAATTCGTGAAGTGACAGACCAGGTCAACGATCCCGACCTCAAGGCATCGATAT